TACTGAGCAGATCAAAATGATTAGGGATCGTCTGAAAAAGGCTCAGGATCGTCAGAAAAGTTACTATGATCTCAAGCATCGACCTCTAGAGTTTGAGGAGGGAGATCATGTGTTCCTGAAGCTGTCACCGGTTACGGGTGTGGGACGAGCCCTTGGAGTGAGGAAGCTGAGTCCGAGATTTATTGGACCCTACCAGATTCTTCGTAGGGTGGGACCGGTTGCCTACCAGCTTGCCTTACCTCCGCAATTGGCAAATTTGCATGATGTGTTTCATGTTTCTCAGCTGAGGAAATATGTAGCTGATCCTTCTCATGTGGTTCAACCTGATAATGTTGAAATCCAGGAGAATTTGAAGACTCCTGTTGGACCACTGAAGATACTCGAAAGAGATGAGAAGAAGCTGAGAAATAAATCTATTCCTATGGTGAAAGTCCAGTGGGAAGGAAGGACGCCTGAAGAGTCCACTTGGGAGCGGGAAGATGAGCTGCTCCGGCAATATCCTGAGTTTAAGGACAGGTACGTTCTTGATTTTGCGGACAAAATCGCTAAAAGGTGGGGTGATTATAATAGCCCAACTTAATTAATTAGTAAATCTAGTGTAATTAATTAATTAAACATGTTTTGGTGAGTGAAATTAAGTATAAGGCTTAATTAAATGAATCTGAGTCACTTTGGAGTTAAAAAGTGTACTCAGTGAAAATTAAGGGGTATAAATGGGTACTGGTGAAAGTGCCCAAAATATAAAAATAAAAATAGTAATATTCCTAGAATAATATTCCAGACTTTTGGGTAAAGTTTGGTAATTAATGGAGTTGAGTAGATAGACGAACCAATACCCACATGTTACCACTTAACCTATGTTAAGTGATAAAGTAACCAAAAAGAACCCAAATCCCCCCATTTCCCCGTCGACGACAGAAATAGAAAAGAAGAAAGGAAGTAGAAGGAGATGGAGGGAAAAAGAGGAAGAGAAAACCTAGGGGGAGCAAATCTCAACCATTTTGAGTGATTCCAAAGCCTAAACCACTCCAAATCTCCTCCTCTTTCATAATCCTAGCTTTGTTTTGAGTGGGGAGCATTGTGGAGAGAGATATTACCTCTCAAAAATTCGTCCCTTTGGTGAAAATTGGGGTTTTGAGAGTTTCTTCCTCCATTGAAGCTTGAGGAGCCATCAATCCTTGGTTGTGTGATCATTGGTGGTAAGATTCTAACCCTTGAACCTCATGACTCCTTGAAATTTGCATGAGTTAGGGTTTATGAATAGTAAATTGGGATTTTGATTAAATGTAGTTGAATTAGCTATGTTCTAGGAATAATGGAGCTTAGAGCATGTTATGGAAAATGCTAGGAATGTCATTTAATCGGTGAAAATGAGCTTAGATAGCTAAATGAGTATACTTGTAAAATGGCAAGAATATGATGCTTGATATTGGATTTCTTGCATTGTTGATAAATGGTATGGCTTGGTTGATTGATGATTGTGTCCTAATGATGTCTAGGATTGAGACATTTGGACCGACCGTGAGTGATCAACCGCTTGAACAAGCTATGGAGCTTGAGTAGCTCATTGGAATTGGTAAGCTCACACTTGTGTGGTGTTTTGAATTAAGTATTTGATGGTTGATTGTGAAATACTCTTGGATGCAATGTGTTGATTGCATTACACCATGTGTAGGTGTTGGTTTTGGAGTAGAGTATTGTTGACATTGGTGAAGAACAAAGGTCGACTGAAGCGTTGAGGTAAGCCTTCGGACCTTGGGTGTAATTCCCTTGACTGTTCTACCAAGCCCTGAAAGGGTAGAGGTTGTGATTGTGTATATAAATGCAATAAAATAGTGTAATGCTTTGTTATACGTATGTGTATGCATTTGGTGTGGCATAGGATGGTGTTTCCCTATGTGGGTATGTTGCATGACGATGCGTAAATCATACATGGTAGTTAGCTGGCCAGTAGGACTATTTGCATCTGAGTTTCCTTAGGACAGCTTGAGAGCTCGGGGGATTTCTCCTGGAGATGTAGTGCACTTTGCATAGATATGTATTTACTGCATTATTATTGTTATTGCTATTACACTGATATGGAACTGTGGGGTGGAGAGATGCTCTAAGGACCCCTGGTTTACTGGATATATTCGTATATCTCACCCCGTGTTGTGGGGACCCCCTTTCAGGTAAGGATGCTGCAGGAGCCTCTGGTGGCAAGTGGCCATATCTGGATTATGCATGAAATGTGGCATTTCTTTTGAGTTTATGCATGCCTTGTGTAGTTGACATGTATAGGATTTTATTTTGAAAGCCCATGGTCATTTGTATATCTTGATTCATTGGATGAACTTAGCCTATGCTCATGCCTTTGGTTACACCTTTGTTGATGGGAGCCAAGGGAATGATCATAGTGTTTAGTAAGCTAAGTTCTATGATTTGTAAAGGATATGTAATGTAAATGATGCCTTCTTGAAATTCAATATATGTATGCTTGTTATGTATTGAGTTGTTGGATTGGTTGGACTGAAAATCAATTAGGTACCCTTTTGTTTAAACTGGTAAACGATGAGAAAACAAAGGTCATGCTGCCCAAATTCTAGCTAAATCTCATGAGGAGAGGTTGGATGAGTGCTAGGATTTAGTTTTGGGGCATGGACAATTGGGGTTTGTAATGGGGATGCATGTTCCCCTAGGCTTGGACTTGAGAAATGTGGGAATTGGAATTCCCTGGCAGCGCGCTTAAGCGCCCAGGAGCGCGCCCAAGCGCCCTGCTGCCCCTGCGAGTGCCAATGCATTCTGCCTCCTCGCGCTGGAGCGCCCAAGTGGGGGCTTAACGCCCAGGATTGCGCGCTGGAGCGCCCTGGCGTGCGCTTAAGCGCCCTTTGCTGCAGAAAGTTGGGAGGCTTACTGTCCCCTCGTGTTTTAGCGCCCGATAGCGCGCGCTTGAGCGCCCGGTAGCGCGCTGAAGCGCGCGGGGCCTGTGACCAACACTCTCTTGTGTTGCTTCAAATTGTCCTAACTTGGGCTACAGTGCTCCGATTTGAGCACGGTTTGAAGCCACGGGTAGCTAATGAAGAAACCTACAATATAGTAGAAGTTTTGAACTAAACAAGAAGTAAATTAATGGTTTAAAAATGGAAAATGATCATGATGTTAAGCTTAATTTATCTGTTTCCGCAAGGTAATATGGTTATGATCACGAAAATGGGTATTATAAGTTCTGTACGTTTTAAAATGAAAAATTTATCCGGATTTTAATTGAACCCATGTGATTGTAACTGCGCTTAATATCATAATGCGATGTTAACAAACCGGTTCTAGAACGGGGCGTTACAGGTGTCACAATATCTTATCCCATTTTTAAAAGAAAAAACTTACAAAAATCCGCGTAAGTTTTTTTAGAATTACTTACTTTTTTTTTGAAATTTTAAATTATTTATTTCCCTTATTTAAATTTTTTTTATCACTTACTTTTTAAATTAGGAAAATAAGTGATAAAGAAATTTTAAGTTAGGGGGTAAATGATAATTTTTTTTAAATAAAAGTGTAAAGGATTCAAAATTTTAGAAAGGAGAATAAGAAACTTTAATCTAGAGAAAGCTTACAGGTTTTTTTTTTGAAATTTTCCCTTTTTAAAATGGGGAAATATTTGTTCTCTTAAAGGATATAACTTTGTGTCATTTTATATCTTAATCGTTGATTTTTGTCAATCAACGGTTATAATTTATTGGATTTTAAAAAGTGTGTGATTTGTAAATATTTTACAATCATTTTTATGATTGTTAGATCAAAATTAAATCAATAAATTTCACTTAATATTATTTTGTAACTGTTAATTTGATTTTAATTCAATAATCATAAAAGTGAATTAATTAATAAGTTTGACCCAATAAATCCTAATTGTTGATTAACAGAAATCAACAATTAAGATATAAAATACATAAAGTTATATTTTTTAAAAGGACAAACTTTTTTTCCCTTTGAAAATACACTAAATAGTTCTTGTTCTAACATGTTTAGTAAGTGCTAGTTTGGAATTTTGTTTTTTTAATTTCTCTTCTTCTGAAGAGCAGAAATTAGGTCAAACAAGTTTTTACAAAAGCTCTTATAATAAAAAGAGCTTTTTTTATAAATGAAAAAAAAAACCAAACACCAATAACCAAAAGTTCTTATCAGCTTTTCTTGAAATTAGGTTTGAGCTTTTAAGTTAAAATTTTTATGTAATCACCATATAACATTTAGACTTTTTTGAGCTCTTTTTTTTGTTAATTTTAGTTTAAAAGTAGCTTTTAGTTTAAAAAAAATGAAGATCCAAACATACTCTGAGTACTACCTAAGCATACAATTCCAAAAATTTTAAGGAGAGGGAGGACCCATTTCAAAATTAAGTCATTGCTACAAGTATTAACTTACCCTGAAACTAGATGTTAATTAAGGATGTTATTTGATTGCTAAATTAATTACATAGTATGACTTGTTTTTTTGTTTATAACAAGTACTATAATAAGTGAAAACTTTCAATTAAGAATTATAAACTTAATTTTATATTTTCATACATTACAAACTGTGTGACCTAGATTTTAAAATAGCTTTCAGATCTCTCAACAACTGAGAGATCGTATGCTCTTTAATTGGGTATCATAGAAGCTTGTGGAAGTTGATTAGGGACAATCTCATCTTATATCCATTAGAAATTAGAAGTACTAAGAACTGTTGGGGACAAAGTCCATAAATGTTACGGGACCGGCGCAAAAAGCAAAGGAATCAATTTATGATATGATTCATATGAACCATTTATGCTGGATACACAGCCCAAGTGCGTGTTTACTTCTCCCACCGACCATCACATACACGATCACGACTATGGCTTCCCTGGACCATACTGTCCTCACTTCATTTACTTTCATTAAGTAATATGCCATCTTCTTACGAATAACCAGCAAAGGAAGTTCATAGATCCTGGATTCCAATGCATAACGATTCTAAAGAAACAAAATGAGAACCACATAAATGGACTATTATTGAGAGTCGGAAGGTCTTTTAATCATACACCACTTTTGCATGGCCCAACATAAAATAATAATAATAATAATAATAAATCCTCCTCTTCATACACAAATCAACAAGTAACAGGCACTGCCTCGAGATTCAACTATTGATATTGTATTAAAGATCTGATTCATCTCAATTTCCATCACACTTTTGCTATGTTTTCATCTGGAGAAAGGGTGGCGCTTGGAAGTTGCTCAATGGAAAGAGCTACCTCTCATTCAAAGCTGACAGGACTACAGCAGTAAACTACATAATTTTCCCTAAAAATTTATCATTATTCAAAGAAACCTTATCGGTTAAAAACACATTTGATCTCAGTTATATGAAATCAGTAACACTAGTATTTAGAATTTACTATGAAGCTACAGCAGTCCAGATATATAAAGAAAAGGGTCAATATCCACTCGGACATCCCATAACATCTAAGAGGCCCCAACCCTATCACGCGGAATCAGGCGTAGTTCTGAGCCATGCTTGAGGAAGACATTACCTGAAGAAATGAAATACACAATTTGTAAAATGAAAGATAACAACAATCATCAGCCTATAGTATATAATTTTATTCATTGTTATGATATAATCCTTTTATAGGAACCCGTAATTGCAACTCCAAACAATGTGCATCAAGCAGTCACAACATAACCATTTCAAGTATATCATTAAGTTTAATCAGATTAACTCCATCCCAAATGTTTGGGCGACATTGTTTTATTTTTTCCTTGTGAAATAATTATTTATAAAAAGTTTTTTTTACAAGAAGAATTGATCATATTTGAAGAGTGAAATATGATGACACATTGATAAGTTAAAGAAACAGATGATAAAGCATTGCCATACCTGCACTCTGCTGGGGATTTATGCCAACACCATCTGCATGCGTACAAAGTAATAAATATGAAATGTAGCAAATCAAAGATGGATATTAATATAACAAGATATGCTTTCACAGTTAAAGATTTGACAGTCAATAATATACATACACAAAAAACTCTTAAATTTTGCAGTTTTGCATTCATTGGGTTCATGCTAGTATTGTTAGCTTACCTTTCCCATATTCCTTTTCCTTCTTAATAAACAGAATTACATTTTTTAGTGCCAGCAAATGTCAAAGTAACAACGTATAATGGGTTCACCAACTACTCAGTTCAAACAACTAATTTCTCAAACTGCCCGAATGAAATCTCAATCTATTTGATCTCTTTACGTTTTGGAATGGGGGAAGATCCCATTGGACTGTAATTTAAGATCTAAGTGGACAAAACAGCTGAGTTGATCAGATATCCCATCACTATGTTGCCACTACGAATCATGTGAACTTCGACTATATTACCAGCATCTTAGATAGAGCATAAGTGTTATTCAATCTATTCTAATTCACATAACACAGCAAAAAAAAAGGGTTACTAACTAAATTCCAACATCAAAAGTTAGAAAATTATATGGATTACAACAGTAAGATTACAAAGTTTTGATTAACATAATAATCACAAAGTTTTTGGTTGCATCAAGAACCCATAATGAAATCAAAACCCACAGGTTAAAAATAACTGGTGAATCTTAGCTTAGCTTTTTCGAAAGGCATCCACCACCATGTATTCAATATCCATCCCCAAACGATCATAACTATGATTTCCAAATCAGAAAAGTCTCAGTATACTCTGAATATCTTAAAACTAGCAATACCAATAGCAACATCATTAATCTAATTATTATAAAATAAAAAAGAGAGGAAAAGATTGATCAACCCAAAAAAAAGGGGGTAAGTAATTACCGTTGGTGATAATAGCGCTGGTCTGGGGAGGGACTTTGAATTCTTCGGCAGCGAATTTGAGAACGGCAGTAAAAGGTGCAGCCTCTGGAACGCTAAACCTGAAACGAAAAACATAAAATCAAGATTAGGTTAGGGATCAAAAGGAATTAGGGGAAATTGTTGAGATTTGAGAAGCACATAAAAAAGACATACACTTTGAACGGTAGCTTTGGATCGGATGTGAGGGTCACTTTGAACGAAACCTTTCCACCACCCGCCATCTTTTTCACTTCTCCTCTCTGTTTCTCTCTCCCTGCTCTCTCCCTCAACACCGTCCCTGGTGATATTCTTCCAGCGTTTTTCTGACGCAATTGTCGTTTACCTTTTAAACGACATAATTAGTGTGGGCATACTTTTAATAAGACTGCTCCCTAGCGAATATAGTTTATTTTCTTTTGTTTTTCTTCCCTCTTGTTTTTTTATTTATTTATTTAATTTAATTTTTGGTTAGGTATCGGTATGATATCTTATTGGTTGTACTATAAGATTTGCTAAACCTTAATATGTTTAAGGATAAAAGATAATAACTCAAGAGACCTGAACAAAATCATTGTTTTCCATAAATTGAAGGAAATGCATATGAATCAATTGTTAAAATAATGCACATCAAACTTCAATAGACGTGGGGTATGTAAATACTTTCTTCCGTTTTAGACCCTCGGAAATGAGAATTGGTGGGTGCGAAGAAAATTTGCGTCAGACAAATCAATCAATAAATTTAGGCCTCGAAACAACAATCTAGTATGACCCATTGCCATATAGTCAAAGTTGAAGCCCGTTCGAGCCCAAGTTCGACCAACTCACCAAAAACAAAATTGAACCCAAAACTAGAAACGCAAGAAATGACGAAATTATTGGTAGAGTGATAACAAAAGTATTTAATTTGAGCATGTTAAAGGCGCCAAGAAGAAAGAATTGTGATAAAGGTTGATAATTTAAAAAAAAAAAAATTATACTTATAACCTCTTTTCCCTTATAAATATTTTACAATCATTTTTATGATTGTTAGATCAAAATTAAATCAATAACTTTCACTTAATATTATTTTATAACTGTTAATTTGATTTTAATTCAATAATCATAAAAGTGAATGTAATGATAAAGAAATTGTAAATATAATATTTCCTATAGTTTCTGTTAATAATCGAATACTTCTTCAAAGTAATTGAATATTTCATTGACAGCAACCACAAATACCATGTTTTATTGTATAATGAGTTATGATATCACTTCCACCTAATTAGCCATTTCTCATGTCAATTACATATACCTAATTATCCAAAAGCTTAGCATGCAATTTTCCTTCAAGGATTCATCGAACATGGCATAAGTTCTCATACATCAAATTCTAATATAATACTTCATTCATATCATATACATAGCACTTAACACTTGAATTAGAAACCGTAAGTTATGAACTTGAATCTAAATACATAGGCCACAATTATAAGCCTTTAATCAAAGCACAATATCTATCAAAATAGTTATTATATAAGTGCTATATCTCAACAATACATTATGTCATTATAAATAGTCCAAAAAGTTAAATTTGCTCTTTTATAGGTTATACTTACAACCTTTTACAATCATTTTTATAATTGTTATATCAAAATTAAATCAATAACTCTCACTTAATATTATTTTGTGATGATTGATTTGATTTTGATTCAATAATCATAAAAACGATTGTAAAAAGTTATAAAAGAAAATAAATTATAAGTATAATTTTCCTTATTAAAAAAAATAATAGTTTTTTTCCCCCTGTATTAAGGACTATCCACGGATTTGAATAATGTTACTTTGGTAGGGAGAGATACACAAGAAGATTTTGTATAACAATCTGTATCTAAAACTAAAACAGAGGTCCCATGATACGCCACTAACGAATTACCAATGAGAGTTGGAGCTTGAAACTCTCTTTTTCCGTATATGCACTTCTCCACTTTGGATCTACCAACGACAGTGCATGCTACAGTGAGTGTTGCTTGTCTGGAAGACCCATGACCCCGAGCACCAATGTCCATGTCTAACGGCGAACGCACAAGGAGAGTAGTACTTTGATGATTAACATTGACAATTCATCATGCCATGTTTAACATTTTTCAAATCTCAATGCTTACCAGTTACCATCATATTATTTCCTGTTCTTAATTATCTAACCACGCTTAGCAATTTGATAATTTCACACTAATGTTATCATCTAGTGAATTGTGCCTCATGCCTAGGCAGACCCGGTTTTTTTTCCAAGATCAATCAAAAGAAAATAATCTGATTGAAGATAACATAAAATATAAGGATGGAAAAGTTGATGTGTGTATAGCAAGCACCAAAGTCAAAGTGAGGGGTATTTCCTCCCCTTTGAACCTTTTGGTTCTTTATTGGTCCCCAATCGATGCAATCTGAGTCATAAATCAAGAAAGAAGTGACATTCTCTCATGCCTCCATATGCAAGGTGGGGTAAGAACCTAACTATTTTTCTCCTTTTAAAGTAACGATTAGGCTATCATCAATGCCATCACCATCAAAATCAAGTTTCACTGACTGAAAATGACCATCCAAATCTTTGATCTTAATTACTTCAATTATAAATTTGAAATAAAGTGATTGCTGTATCGTAACTATCTAGTATATCAAAAAAAGTATGATTCTGATGTTTTTCATGATCAATAGCAACTGGCAACCATTTGGTTGATGCGTTAAATTCAATGATTGCCCATAGGATGGGAACTTACCACATAGAGTTTGACAGTAAGAATATTATAAGAGAAAAGGAAATAATTGATTACTACAAAAACTATGGTTCAATAAACTCACTTTTAATTTTCAGTTCATTAGGCCATTATAGTTTGGAGTAATCAAAATATGCAACCAATACAGTCCATTGAGCCATAGAATAACATTTTGTTTTAATCACCAACTATAAAAAAATTTCAACTTTGAAAAGATGACTAGGAAATACTTTGACATAAATCATCGAGTAAATTAAAGTTCAGAACTCACACAAGAAATTATGTATGTTCTGAACTTCTATCTAGAGAAAAAGTGAACGGTTATAATTTTAAAAAGTTAATCCAATGGTCCAACAATTCACTGGGACTGGGCCTAATGGTTTGGAAAGTGTTGGGCCATCTTGAACCTATTAATCAAATCTGATATACCGCCCATATCAAGATGCTTTCTTTCTTTTCATTTTCTTTTCTTGCATCTCTTTTTTGACCAGAAGATAAGGATCTCATACCTAAGTCCTCGTAATTGTGATATCCATAGTCACTAATGTTGTAAACCTCTCAAGATATTCATCAAAAACTGCAATTTGACGAAATGAGTGTTTTTGATTCAAAACAAAGTATAAAATTTCGTCAAATTTTTAATAAATAATTTTTGGTCCTTTTACAGTTGATTTGTGAATGAGTTCAAGTCCAAGAAACAATTGTAAAAAATTTTAGGATACACTACTCCAAAAGCTAGCTCAAAGGGTGAGAGTGTCCAAGGTCTTATAAACTCTTACGTTAGTTGCTCTTCAACCAACAACAAACGTGAGACTATATATCTCAACACGTCCCCTCACGCAAGAGCCCTCTTGGCTTGAAGCGTGAATTATGCAACAGGCCCAATCTTTGGATTACCTTTTTTTGTGCTTCCACTTTAAAGTGGGGGCAGTGAGGATCGAACCTCAAGCTCTGATACTACCATGTAAAGAAAGTTGGGATTCAATTTTTTTGTAAAAACAAAATTGATCCATATTTATATGATCATGACTCTTCATATGATCATGTCATTTTTTTTTTTCACACCAGAGAATTCGGATCTAGTGCCACTTACAATCAACCATCCCCTTTATCCTCAATATCGGGCACTAAGATTTGCCCTTTTTTTTTCCATAGATAATTTCCTTTTATGTGAAAATGGCAAAATTGAAAATTTTCAAAATACTTGCAACTTTATAAGGCACTTAGTACATATACCACTTGGATGGTTCGAATGTACGATAATCTAAATAGCTAACTAACGAAAAAGTTGAAAATGAAAAGAAGAAAGTATTGGGGTTCAGCTAGAATTTTCTTTTAGTAAAGCCAGTTGGAAACACGTGTGGTACTAATCATGATTAGCACTAAGCCCTTCTTAAGTGCAATGATTCGTTCCATCTTAGTCTCCCCCACAAAGACATGTTCAACACTCACACTCGAAGCTTTTTCTAATCTCCCTCTGCAGGAAACTTCTCTCTTTTATCGCTGCTACCTACATTATTCATGATCAATCAACGTGCATGGGCTCTTTCAGATTAAAGAAAAAGATTAATAGGCCAATGGTGGGCCACCCCGCTCGTGCACTGCAGCTAACCATGGTCCCTCAAAGCCTACAAAACTGATGATGAGTTTGCACCTTCACAATGGCGAATGGTTAAGGAAAAAAGGCTTACTGCATGTGAACTAAGCAAGGTCCCCACAAGGGTCCATTCACATTCAGTACCTTACTGACAAAAAAAGTTTATATAAGGAAATGGAAGCTGCGTGATTAAGAATGTGAAAGGGTGAAGGAGGGTGAAAAAAGAAGCACTTCTTCTATCTAACCCCCACAACACTTGAAGGGAGATAACAATTAATGGCTTCTGAGAAGGTTGAAACTATTGTTGCAGGGAATTACTTAGAAATGGAGAGGGAAGAGGAGGACTCTAAATCAACTAGTAGCAAACTAACTAGGCTCTTCTGGCATGGTGGCTCTGTCTATGATGCATGGTTTAGCTGTGCTTCTAATCAGGCACTTATTTATGAACCATCATTGCTTTGATTATGTATTCTTTTTTATTTTATTTTTCAGAAGCAGAATTAATCTTCATTTGTACGGCAATGGTCTCATAATTTACTTGTTTGTTGGATTTATTGTAGGTTGCACAAGTGCTATTGACATTACCATATTCCTTTTCACAACTGGGGATGTTATCTGGAATTTTATTTCAGCTTTTTTATGGACTTCTGGGAAGCTGGACTGCTTACCTTATCAGTGTCCTTTATGTTGAGTACAGAACCAGAAAGGAGAGAGAGAAGGTTGATTTCAGGAACCATGTAATTCAGGTGATTATATTTATCATTTTACTATCTACTTCATATTCTTGTCCTTGTATGAATCATTGTGAATAAAGCCTAGTGGGTTAATTTAGATTCTTCTTCTAATCTTGTTTCTTTTGACTGTTTGTAGTGGTTTGAAGTTCTTGATGGACTTTTAGGCAAACACTGGAGGAATCTCGGTCTCTTTTTCAACTGTACTTTCCTTCTTTTTGGATCAGTAATTCAACTAATTGCATGTGCAAGGTAGACAGTGGATCACTATATTGAATTATATATAATCTGCATATGCACATTATTAGCTAACTTTTCTTTTCTAACTGTTTTTATATAATAAATGCCTCAGTAACATATACTACATAAATGACAATTTGGACAAGAGAACATGGACTTACATCTTCGGGGCCTGCTGTGCAACAACAGTGTTCATCCCTTCTTTCCACAATTACAGAATCTGGTCATTCTTGGGTCTCATGATGACCACTTATACAGCATGGTACATGACCATAGCTTCCCTTACCCATGGACAGGTAAAGGCCTCACACAATTTACAAGCCTCTTCATCAGCATATAATGAAAGCAATATATGTGAAATATTGTTGCTTATTTCGTGTTCTTCAATCTATATGTTTCTGAAGGTTGAGGGGGTGAAGCACTCAGGTCCAACCAAATTGGTTCTCTACTTCACTGGAGCTACCAACATTCTCTATACTTTCGGTGGACATGCTGTTACAGTGTGAGGACTCAAAAGCTGAATAAAATTACATACATAAAGGGACTTCATTTCATTTATTTTAGCTATAAAGGTTTTGTTTTAATTACTGAATAAAGGAGAACTTTGTCCTAATTTTTGTTATTGGTGCTTCAAATGGATTATATATATCTTAAGAAAAAGTTCAACATCTTCAGGTGCTATATATGAATCTGACAGGCATTTATTGTAGGGAAATTATGCATGCAATGTGGAAGCCACAGAAGTTTAAGATGATATATCTGATTGCAACGCTATATGTGCTGACCCTAACATTGCCATCAGCAGCTGCAGTCTATTGGGCATTTGGGGACATGCTTCTCACCCATTCTAATGCCCTCTCTTTGCTCCCAAGGACAGGGTTCAGAGATACTGCTGTCATTCTCATGCTCATTCATCAGGTTCATTTTCATTCCATAAATCTTCTTATACATAGATTACATTAATTTTCAAATAGAAACTAAAGCAAATTGTAATCAACACCATCTAAAGGGACTCTTTTATTTGATGCCTTTTGCAGTTCATAACTTTTGGATTTGCTTGCACACCTCTATACTTTGTGTGGGAGAAATTCCTTGGGGTGCATGAAACCAAGAGTTTGTTCAAAAGGGCATTGGTTAGACTTCCTGTTGTGATTCCAATATGGTTCCTGGCAATCATATTCCCTTTCTTTGGCCCCATTAACTCAACTGTTGGATCTCTCCTTGTTAGCTTCACTGTTTACATAATTCCTGCCTTGGCACACATGTTGACATTTGCTTCAGCACCGGCTAGAGAGGTTAGACACCTAGAATTGCTTATCTCATGAACTTATATATTTATAAATATGTTGCATTTATTCAATGCTTTTTACTTGGTGCTTATGTGCCAACCTAGTTATATATCTCTCTTTTTTACTTTGACAGAATGCTGTGGAGAGACCACCATCAATTTTAGGAGGATGGGTAGGATTGTACTCTGTGAATGTCTTTGTGGTGGTATGGGTTTTGGTGGTAGGATTTGGGTTGGGAGGATGGGCAAGCATGCTTAATTTCATACACCAAGTTAAAACATTTGGGTTATTTGCTAAGTGCTTTCAGTGTCCCCCTCACAAGGCCTAAAGTAGCTCCTCTAGTTTCTTGTGATACCTATGAGATCATAAATGTGTGTAAAGAGATTGGCATTTGTACTTTCTTTTTTCCATTTATTCCCCCTTTTTTATTTTTATTGTAAGAAGCCAAATGCTGTTGATTGTGTCAGCTAAAGGTGTGATGGCAATCACTGCCACCCCTTATACGAACTTATAGTTAGAATTTCATGTGCTGAGTAGTCATTTCTTGTTGTGCAATTATCTTGCGATATGCTGGACTTGCTTTGTGTTCTCTCTCTTTTATTTAATTTTTATCGTTTGCTGAGATTCTCTCTCTTTTCTGCACCTTGCTACATTTAACTAAAACAATTAAGGTAGGTTGAAACTGACTTTTCCTATTAAAAGAAAAAGATTATTGAGAAAAATGTGTGATTCACTTTTTCTTTTTCTTTTTTTGAAAGAGTGATTCACTTTTATACATTTCAAAGAAGGAAAAATTATTTATCCTTTTAAATAACATAATTTATATTCTTTCACTCTCACAAAGAAACGAGACTCACATCTTTATTTATTTTTTGTCAACTTTATCCTCAAACCATAGAATTATGAAAGTCCACCTTTGATAATTAACAAGAATTATACTTTTCAAAGTACACCTATTCTGTAACCAATAAAAGAAAAAGCTCACCTACTTTTACATTTGTTAGGGGGTGTTTGATACGGAATTTATTTTTAGATTTTCGGATAAACGAGGATGGTAATCTAATTTATTTATATTTGGTAGAAATTTTTTAAAAAGATTTATGTGAATTTTGTTTTGTGAGTAAAATTTAAATAAAATATCATCCAAAAATATCATCCAGAGAGTAGTATTCTCACTTTTTCAGGAAAATGAAAAATATAGACTAAACTTTAAGCCAATTTTTTTAGGGGAATGATATTGTAACAATCAAGTTGTGTTACTACCATGTTACTACCAATGAATCTCACTGTTAGATTGATTATTTCTATCTTTGTATGGTTATGATTCTCCATATTTAAAGTGAAAACATTAAATATGGAAAATCATAACCATACAAAGGTAGAAATAAATATAAAGTATTAAATTTAGGAAATCATGACCATACAAAGATAGAAATAAATATAACCGTTGGATCAACATAATCGATCTAACGGTGAGATTGATTGGTAGTAACTTGATAGTAACACAACTTAGTTGTTACAATATCCTTTCCTATTTTTTTATAATATTCTCAAAAAAACTTATTTTTTTGGTTATATTTTCGAAAATCGTGATTTTTGGATTAAAAAAAAATTCTACCGAACTCAGCATGAAAGTTGTATGCATAATGTTGGAAGAGCTAGCTTTAGTTTCAAATTTCATACTGACTACGGTATCATCTCATCTAATCTCCAAATCTTATCTCAAATCCTTTGCTTGCAAAAATGAAAAAGGTCCTTTCTATTGATGGATTTCTTCAAATTGATTGTCTAGCTGTCGTGAAAGGTGAAGTGTAAGAAATTGGGAAGCAGTAAAATGCAAAATCTATATATTATGTTATGGACCACAAACTATTCCGTCATACACAGTAGACAGTACTATTATTGAGTCACTCATCACTTAAATTGGCTGTTGCCTAATTTGATGTGTCTTTCTTGTGTGCTATGCCAGATGACAAACATAATGAACAAATAAAGCTGTCTCAAATTTTACCAATTATTGATTGTCTTCTCCCTTTCTGCCCTATTATAGGTACCTGGTTATTGTATGAATACATGGTAGTATAAACACATGTAAATTGCCGATAAAGATATTTCAGATGGATTTTTATAAAAAAAAAAAATTGTAATGAAAAGTTTATAATAAAGGAGAGGTTGCCTTATTTTAAAATTAGGATTACAAGTTTTAGAAGACGGGGCTGTTTGGTACGAAGATTTATTTAGAAATCTTTGGAAAATGAGGTGAGATAAATTATTTTCCAAGTTTGATATGATGGAATTGAAAATATTTCTGAGAAACTTTTTTTTTTTTTTTCATAATTTCAGTTTGAAGTTTTAACTACAGAATTCCAAATAAAAATAACATCTATATGATATATGATATTTTTATTTTTCCATAACATCAGTATAATTAACCCAACATTCTCAGAAAAATTTTAGACCTATCAAACACATTTTTATAACTTACTCAGGAAAAAAAAATTCTCACTATTTTTTCAAAAATCTTTTTTCCCTAGTAAAAAAAATATCTTCTCTGTCGTGTATGTTCTCCCATGAATTCAAGAAAGAAAGAAACTTTTCACAGTTCCACTTCCACCAACTAATTTGGACCCAATGGGCCCGAGCAGGAGATGGGTTCAACTGCAGGTGAGACTACCATATCGTCCGTAGTTTCGGGCCTAAAGTTATCTATGATGCTGAAAAGTTCAATGGATACAACGTGAATAAAAAGCTTAGATAGTAACCTCATCCACATGCGATGCTCAATTCAACATTTCAACTAGAGTCTTGACCTTGCACAAGGCTAGGAAGCACCCTATGTTTTTCTCAAGATCTAATCTAACACGAGAAAAAGGGTATTAATCTTCAAAGCAGAGATGGCTAGGGAAAGGGAAATGCAAGGTTCAATATGGGTATATTTTAGATTTAAGACTTTGAGAGTGGAATGGCAACATGAAATTTATATCCCATAATACAAATGGTGGTAACGATTATTGCGGTTGGACTACCAAGGATGGTAGTAAAACAATATACAAACAGTGGTGGGGTAACTCACAAGTTCGCATTTTCTCAAGAACTTTCAAAGTCAAGGATTGTCAAGTATTTTTCTTGTGGCCTCACCACCAAAACGGATCATTGAATCTGGTGATTCTAGAGAGTTGGTGTTTGCCTTTGACCGGTCATCCAATCAACAAATATTGATAGGTGGACCCTATTCTTGAAGTGCCAGCAATAAAAGTAACTTTAAAAAAGAAAAAGATGGTTCTATATACATGATCTGGTTGGGGGCAGAAACCTGAAAGATAAGGTTAAGTAAGGTAAGAATACCTGTAACTGAGAAAAGGTTCACAACAAAGGTAACATGAACAAACTTCAAACAAGTCAGGACTCCTGTCAAGTAAAGTTGGCTGGGCTATAACAAGAGTTTAGGTAATTTTCAGCAATGTATTAAGCCATGCAGAATATGACCTGTTACACAATGCCTCGTTAATTTTAATTTGAAATATCAATTATTAGTTAGGATTGCCTTCACCCCACACTCGTTAGTCGGGTTTAACGAGGAGTGTTTTTTTTTTTTTTTTTGGAATAAGACACCCATATGTACAGATACCACAACTAATATTGGAGGCTTAATCTTTTTTTTTTTTTTTTTGGGTTCAATCATCATGACATAAATTAGTTTCACTCACCTCAAAATCACTCTTGTTGCACCAAGTGGGATTGCAGCTTAATCCAATATTCTGGAAAATGAAAGTAGCATTATTCTATGTAGATTACAATATTGGTTTGGAAACGACAAATACTAGCATCCAAAGACTACCAAGATAGACCTTCAATACTTCTACACTGACTCGAGTTGTTGGATTGCAAAACAAGGATCAAAATCCTGATCAGAGCCAAACATATCAAACAGCATTTTTGTATAAGGCACACATGTGCGGGTCCGAATTGTCACCTTGTCAATGAGACACAAATTATGATATCATAATACATGTGACATCTATATGGGTCGAAAGTCTATCGGGGAAGATAAAACCTTCATATGTATTTTATGGATGGCTTAGCTTTCATATTAACATTCGTTTAAATTTGAAAACATTCATGGCCACATAGGATGCTTCATTTTACAAAGTAAAAATTCATAGACTTCGGCCTCTCCCAAGTCAACAAGCACTTAAGTGCCAACCTAAATTTCTGTTTCTTCTGTATTAAATGGTTACCATTAGGGTTCCCTTTTGTTTTCTCCATCTTAGAGGAAGTTCAAACTGTAAAGCTCAAGAATGTAAGTGAGGTTGATCCATGTATAGTGCATTGCAAGTGAGAGTCACCTTACTGTGTGCGTTACTGCTAAACTCAATAATGGTTTGTGGATTGTAATATGTTGCAATCATGCTTAAAATTGACCATAGGGCTCCGGCAAGAAGAATTAGATGGGACTTGTATTGGTTTGTACTAATAAGACGTTATCTATATTCATCATTGTATAATATCTTTATAATGATTTCCAAACTACAGAAAGGTCGCAACAGTCCATAATGTGGACACTAGCAAGTTGGTATTGAAGAGCTTCCAACAGACAATACTATCACAAGATTGGCCCACTATCTATTGAGAAATCCACCGTGAGCGAAGTCCCACATTGGTTAAGAATAGACTAAGTGAACATCATATAAGTGGAAGGACCCATATATGCACCTAATAGCTTAAAGTTTTGGGTTTGATTTTTTATGTTTATGTCCACTTAATGTTGTTGCTCATTGGTGGATTGACTTGTGATGATCGATGCTTAGTTGGCTATCTCTCCCCGCCGTGAGCCCAACACTATCTACCCCTTAATTTTGAATGGAAGAAAAATGAATTAATTGAAAGATGGAGATTGGGTCAATGGTCAAAATACCTGGTGCTGTCCATGGAAATTTTATCTGCAAGACCACTACTTGAGTGGTACAAAGCTATGTAACAACTAATCCAAGCTGATATTGGTTCTATATGATTTGTCTTTAGCAACAAAACACTTGCACTTCAAATTCCCATCCTTCATTCCTTTTTTCTTTCTAGATACCGGGTACATGCTGCTTGAACAATCATTACTATAGAAATCCAGTTCATTAAAATTGTCGTGCCCAAAATAACATTGTTGGAAAATTCTCAAAGCAAATGAAAAACAAGCTGTAACTTACGCTGAGATTCAAATAACACTATATCGGAGCACTTTCCAGTAACTTGGGTGCGCCCTCCCTCTTTTTTGGCTCAAGTCCTCTTTGTGCATTAATATTTGGTCTATTAGAAAACTGTTTTTTAATCAACAGGATCATTTAAAAAGAACATATTGTTGCAACTTGCAATAATGCTGCTTCATACTTCTAACTTGATAATTTGGGTTTCAATTTACGGCTATGCTTGCGTTGTGAATGATGTGATC